ATCTCCTCTTGGTCAGTTCCATTTCACAAATACAGACGTTGGGAGATGGCCCTCGCACGATTATGTATTGGCCACACTCGCCTAACGCATGCCTATCTGATGTCACGCTCAGACCCGCCCCAATGTCCTCTATGTAACATCCCTCTTTCAGTCCCACACATTCTCTTGTCCTGTCCACGCTTTAATAGAGCACGTACCTCTGCTTTTCCACACCTATCCTCCCTTCACCGACCTCCCAACATATCAGACATCCTTACAGAATCCCACAGCTTCTGCCTCGACCTGTTCTCCTTCCTCAGACGCATAAATATCCTTCACTTGATCTAACTCCCTTACCTAAACCACCATAATCTTTTCCCTCATCTTCAACCTTTCAACACTGTTCTAGATAGTTGACACATAGCAACTATCACCTGACATCCCCCTTTACTATACCTTCCTATAGTGCTATATGACCTTAGATGTCTAGCACATTTATCTTAACCATTAACCATTGTACGTTGTTGTCGTGGGGGGGGGGGATTTTAGGAGATGGAGACTGAGGGCCAATATAGGGGATCACTACTGCCTTGGACCTCAGCCTCCGGATTAATCAATTATGCATGGTCTTTTCTCCTTTCATTTTCCTTACCTTCCTTTCTACTACTACTACTGTCCAATTTCTAAAATGTGAGAGCTGTGTTGAAAGGATGAAAGGCTGACTTCGAGCCAGTCATGAACTGCCTCGGAGCCATGGTACGGTATTACCTTGATAATTAGCTAGCCTTTACCCCTCATGGGGACCCTGAGAGGTGGTCAATTTATATTCCCCACATATTTCAGGCTTCCCATGGCCAGTAATTATGATTTTGTACTCTTATTAGGGACACTGAGGCTTGTCCCTGTATCAGTGTTCCTAAATCAAACTTCTCTGGTTTACCGATCTCTGACACCCCTTTGAACACGGCTCAGACCATTACTGCTACAAACCCCTCGTCGACGCCTGCTGTCAGCTTAACCCATCCTGACCCTCCCAATCCCAATGCAGCCCTCGACTCGACTAATTTTGCATGGTCATTTCCCTCTCCAGCTTTTTGTTTCCGTCCCTCCTCCAACCCCTTTTATCTACTACCTAAGGTGTAAGACCCGTGCTGAAAGGATGAAAGGCTGACTTTGTGCCAGTCCTGAACGCCCCGAGGGAACCATGGGCACGGTATGCCCGTTTTAGTTGTCTAGCCCTTGCCCCTCAAGGGGACCCAAGAGGGGTGGACTGTTTATTTTTCCAACTTAATACCCATATTAGAGGCAATGAGGCTTGCCACTTCATCAAATAGCCTCACCAATTCAATCTCCCGGCTCCCCGACCCCAGGCTCTCCTTTGACCACGACTCTGAACACTTCACCTCTACCCCAGCAACCTTCTTCATCAAACACCCCATCCACCGTTATTACTAACTTACAGCCTTATACTCCATCTTTCCGTAATTCTACCCCCCTCAACAACACTCCCTCTTCCACACGTCCCCGTCCTTCTACCATCAACAACCCCACATATATCTTAAATGCTCTATTTTGCCTGGCCAAATGGGACCGATTTTTCGTGATCCCCCCCTCCCCCCCAGCTACTTACTCAGGCAACACTTTTCTCTTTCAACAATGTCTCAAAAGCTAGTGGGCAGTGTCCCTTTCTACCTTCCCGAACCGTGTTCCCGTCCCGTAACAGGCACATCTGAAACCGAAGCTATAGCATCATCAAATCTAACTGGTATCTCTGGCTACCCCATTCTTGCAGAACCTCCAACTCTTAATACTTGTACCGGAACTGTCTATCCCCCCAGCAAGCTGCCCTATGGATATGGATTGGTCAGACTGTGGAGAATACTTGGCTGCCTAAAAGACCGTGATGTGGCATCAGGACAGTGATACTCCATTCCTCCTGGAGGTCATCGAAAGAAACCCACCAACATTGCCAAATTACTTTCTGTACACATGACCCCTTCCGTATCTACATCGGTGTACAATCCCTCCCTGTTCGACCATACCAACCTTCTCCCCGTCAATGTCAAAACTGTTTGCGCTTTGGACATACTGCCTAACACTGACGTTCCACAGACCAATACCCCTTATGTGCCCAATTCAGTCATAACCGATCAAACTGTTCTGCACAAACACGCACATATGCTGACTGAAGAGTCCCCTATAATGTATTTTATAGAGGCTGTCCCACTTACAAGTTTGAATCTGAGGCAGCAACTCTCAGATACAAAAATGGTCTCACTCTACGTGAAGCCAGACAGGAAGCACGTCGACAAGGTTTCTCTCATACTCCCTACTCCAGTAATGTCGCTCGCTCTGCCTCTCCCCCTCCATCCTAAGATGATCCTATACCCTCCCCTATACCCACTCACTTCCCCACTTCCACTTCTACCTCCTACCTTCCCCAGTCAAATTCTATTGCCACTCTAAATCCAGACACCAATCTCAACTACAGCCCCAACACCGTCCCTTCCCCGCAGCAGAC